CAACGCTTTTATTCGCCTGACGCTTCGAGATCCGTCGCGGATTCATCATCAGGGGCATAAGCAGGAAGCAGTAGCAGATTATGATGAATCCGCGACGGATATCGAAGCGTCAGGCGAATAAAAGTGTTATTCCAGCGATCGAGTCTTCTTTTTCTCACTTACTTCCTGGGACTCGCATGTTCGCTTGTATTGGCAGATAAGCTTGATTTTGATTCCACGAAGGTTACGTATTCCCCTATCCAAACCCGAAATCTTAACCGTTAACCAAAGAGTAACCCTAATCTTCATCTCCCAGGTTCTTAGTGCAAGGTCACCTACATTATGAGCTTCCCATTGCCGTATTCTAAGTTTTTTTTAAAAAAAAGAAATAATAGAAAACTTCAGCTTTGAAAGGTTTATCTGCTATGGGAAATCTTCAAATGAAATCCTGTTTATAAACTTGCTCCTAAGACGTTTAAATGTGCATACTGGATAATTAATTTAAAGTCAATTAATCTTCCCTCTTCGTTGATGAATGCTCACTAATCGCTAACAGAATTCACCGACCCTCTTCTGTCTTAGTATTGATAAAAATTGTTGTCAAAAACAAGGGAGACTGAAGTGGCCATTTGTGGCTCATGACGGAGGAAAGATCTCTTAATAAACACGACATGATATGGAACTGGGATGGTCATCCGACCTGTCTGATTAGGGCATATACTTGTCCCGTTTTGCCTTGAGGCTCGTACTTGAGTGATATCAGGCTGTCGCTTGGCGACCGTGGTGCGGTGGTATAGTGGTAAACTCAATGACCAAAGGTCCCGGGTTCGAATCTCGGGGGTTACAACCGGAGATTGGGTATGACTGGCTGATGACGGCTAACAAGCCAGAAATGGCCATTCTGGTCTCCTTTTGCTTTGTCGGATCCGGTTCACAAAATAATATGGATGTGATTGCGTCTGATAATGCAATTTAAATGTATTTTCCCTTAGACTGAAGGAGAGAATTTGAGTATTTAGGAGGAGCGATTCGTCCACAGCGTCTTCCACAGTAAGCACAGGCGAGGTCAAGCTGGAGTCGTTAAAAAAGAAGGAGGTTGCAGACAATTTCGCATTCGGCGCAGCCAGAACTTACGTGCCCTACAGGCTGTTCACACCGATCGCCCGTCCAGCCCTCGGGGCATTTACAGAAGTAGTCAAACTTGGTCGGGTGGTCGATGCAGACACCGCCGTTCAGGCAGACGGAACGATTTCGCGTACTGGCGCTGTACTCTCGTGCACGGGTCTCCATCTGCTCGGCGAGGGAACAGGGTGAGATGTGCTTTTCACAGAAGTCGCCCCACCAGAAGAGGGGGCACTGACAGACAAAACCACGCGTCGTTCCCTCCGCCCTCACGCAGATACCACTATTCTGACAGGGCGATTCGGAGCAGGGGTCGTCCGGTGGGTAGCATTCCGGATCTTTCCGATTGAAAGAGAAAGAAATGAGAGCGGAGGGAGGGAAAGTGGGTGTGAGGTTCAGGTAAAAGTGAACGAGAAAACATAGAGAATTCACTAGGCTGGAGCTCATATCAGTTAGGTTGTTCGGAAAATACTGACCGATAATTGTAGTTTTTGTGGTAGTTTATACAAAACTTTAAACGCGGAGTTTTCAACTTAAGCCGCAATTTTTTTCTCTCCCTCCATTCTCATGTACATTTTCGTATTTGTACGTCGGTTGGCCCACTTCGCCCATTATAAACTGATCCTTATCCCTCTTTGTTTATTTGAACTACTACAATGAGGTCATCAGCACACTACACTAGCGCCGTTTTTAAAGCATTCCAATTTGGCCTATATTTGACGAATTATCCAAAGACATTTATCCACGATGTCGACGATGGCAGTCGTGGACGATTACGGATTCCTTTTGATTTCCCGGTGTTGTGAGTTTGTGCGCTAATTTTATTCCTTATGAATGGAGGACGGTTTTTCTGAAAAATTTGGAATGATTTTTTCAAAATAAAGCGTACCTCTTACACTCTCATGCTTCACAACGCATGTGCACTCTTTAGGAATTCTCCTATCTTTGTCCAAAGTACAACTCTGGAGCATATAAAACGTTTAATCACGAAGATGGTGCAATTATAAATGCGTTTGCTTTCCTTACGCGATCATAATTTTTCCCAACCAGTCGTCCACATGGAAATAGCACGGGATAAGAGAGCATAAAGGTGGTGCATAGAATAGCCATGCAGTGTCGACGATGAACTCTTGAAAGCGTTTGTTGAAGAAAACCCACATCAAAGTGTCTGAGGCAATTACTGTCTGTATTTTAACCGTTTGTTCCATACCCCTTCCGTGAAAATCGAATGATTAATTTCCTCATGGAATGGTGAATTGTGGGAAAAAGTGGATCCTAACGATGAGCCTATGCGACCAGGGCAATGGCTTGACTATGACGAAGCATCCAAACATTTCCCGAACTCAAAGTTGCATCAGCAGAAGATTGTGGTGACATTCTGGTGTTTGGTTACTTTTTTGTCCATTAGAACTTTCTCGGGAGTAAGAGCATGAAAATAGAAGTTTACTGACAGCACCTCGAAGAAATGCATGTTCACTCGGGAAAAATGAGACCTATACTAGTGAATCGACGTGGCCTACATCTGCTTAAGAAGAGTGTACGGCCAAATGTTGCCAGTATGATACTGCAGAGTTTCGAGAATAGGGTTCCTCAGGCCTATGGTTCTGTTTGTTTTTGATTACCGGTCGTTTGTAATAGGCCAATACTTATGTTTGATTCATTTATGGATAATCCTGACCACAGCCAACGCGAATGAAAACCGTGGCTGAAGCTGTGACATAATGTAAACCCACGATTTCCATATAGAATCTGTGAGTTCATGGCATCTTGCCTCTTTGGCAGCGGGGAGCAGAAGAGGGCATTTGTTACGAAGTGATGTTAATTGTTAGCAAAATAATATCCTGAACACTATAGTCTAGAGACATTTTAAATGTACCCTTACTGACTGCCGAGTTCAGCAGCTAGGGTGAGATTGCGTTTTCTGTTAAGAACACGTAGATTGCTGGCACGCTGAATGTGCCACCAATCAGCACTAATCGGTCATGAATTCAATTGGTTTTACTTGGGCGCGCATATTCAGGCGCCTATATTTTGGTAGAAAAGTTTTCATAGTTGAATGAGAGGGAAGAGACGGCAGCTAAGTTCGAAAAACTCTTCCGTCCACAGCAAATAAGGATAACAGCAGTGCAATTACGGCATTCTTAAATGCCCTCATCTAGCCATGACAATTTAGTTTTAATTCGCCGCCAACTTATGAATATTCGGGTATTTGGGATAGGAACTCATAGCGTTATTAGAGGATACGCGGAATCAGTCAAAAATACACTAAAGTTATGGTAGTCTGGATCTGAAACACTCCGGATAAACCTTTCACAAACTTTGCTTCTGAACGTTCAGGCCGGACTATGAATCGCCAACCGGAAGTTTGCTGGGCTGAAGTCAAGGCATTAATGTAGAAGAGGAAATATGCATATGCAGGCACAGGTGGAACTCACAATCACCGCCGTTGCAGATGCATCGTCTGCCGTAGAGATTCTCAACGCATTGAGCTCCCGATCGACAAGGTTGCCGCAGACAGTGATGCGTTTCGTTGCAGTACTTGCCAAAAAAGCCTGGAGATTTGGAAATGCAGAAAAAAAACTGGTGTTGACAAGGTTGCTTTCGCATTTTCACGAGAATTAAACCAACCATACCACGCAAAAATGGACATCTACCAGTGTACTTTGATTTTCGATCTACCCTTTCAAAAGAATATTATCTAAAGCGTGCAAGAGTTCTCTCCTGTTTATTTTCTAAGAAAAGAAGTGCGCGACCTTGGAGCAATTCCTCCAGAACAGACGTTTTCAGACTCAGTTCGAAACTTGATACGAGGGCGCGAATTCTTCCCAATTGGGTCAACTGAATTAAGAAAACCTGCCAAACGCCCCTATAAATTAAGTGAGCCTAGTAGTCATTCTGATGGATTTTAGATGATTGCTTAGGAACTCTTGCCTGGGCAGTCAGCTTGCTGTTCTGTAATGGTGGATTCCATACTAGCAGTAAGTAAAATCGATCCAAGTGTAATTAAATTCACGGCTCACGGTGAGCCTCGTAGCTCAATGGTAGAGCGTTGGCTGCGCAAAAGCCTTCCCTGCTGCATGGGTTGGACTCCCACCGAGGCCGCGAATTTTTAACAATTGGGTCAACTGAATCGATATGAATATAGATCTAAACGCTATCTGTTGATGTGGTTTAACCACGTGATATTCCCAACCTGCCAACAGACAGGAAGGAGTGTAGTGGACCTTACCGCCACTGCTGCCAGACGAAACTGACGTGCAACTGAGGCGCACCCAAGCGCACGCACGATGTCCCCCCCATTCTGGCCTCAACCCGCAGTGGATTGACCTCAATCGGTCTGGACAAAGCTCTAGGCCGATGATACCGCCAGACGCACTGACGCACTTACTAATGCATCCACGCCTGTTCGCCCACGCGTGGTCCAATCAATGACCTA